GCTAGAGGGAGTATATAAAGGGGGTACAGGAATGAACCTTCCACAACATCTTAAAGACTCACAAATGAAGGGATATTAAAATAATGGGGTCACAGTTAAGAAACATAGTAACAATGACTTAACCATACAAATGTGGAGGCTGTCAACCCAAACTGGGTTTGAAAAAATTGTTATAAAAATTGACAATGAATTATTAAATGTTTTTTCTCAATTGTAACGGCTGCTCCATCTCCTGTGTAATCAAGGCCAGTGCTAAAAGTCAGATGTTATTAGTACATACACCAGTCAACATTTTACACATATTTTATTAGTTTTTCAATCATATACCTGCTGTGAATACATCATATGCTGCCTTGCAAGCTTTTTCTCATTAAATATAAAATATTTTGTAATGGTGCACGGGAAATTTCAATTTGAGATTCTACAGGTTAGTGTTTTATTTTAAAGATTATGATGCATATATTCAATCAAACATCTGTCAGCCATTCCCCCACTTTCACTTTCCACATTCTATTACAATGAGTTTTGCAGTTTTGCACACTTTTTTTAATGTCGTTAACTGTTAGGGAATTTTACTTGAATATTTAGTACCTACAATGTTTAAAAAAAAAAAAAAAGACATTACACATGGTATAAAGGAAGCCAGTGTTGCAATAAATTCTCAACACTGGACAGATATAAGGATGTGTACTTTTTTTAAAAAATAAAATTTGTCCCAAATATTCTATCTCATGTTGTTTGCTATTAAAAGAATTAGATTTCTAAACTGGCAATGTTGTATCATTTGTTTGAAGAGAGCGAGAGAGAGAGAGAGAGAGAAAGAGCGAGCGAGAGAGCGCCAGTATTAGGGACCGAGCTTCATGTTTGAATATTGTAATTGATGTGCCCAGACTGCAGGTGACTTACAGAGTACAACTACTGTTGTATACAAATGTGAAGTAACTGTTAAAATTCTGGTTAGTATAAAATTCTCCATGACCTTGAAGCATTCTGAATAGCGAATCCAAAAGTTACATTTCTTCTTCCCACTTTAATTACCCTATTGATGCAAACTTTGTTCTCACCTAGTTAGCAGCTATCTGAATTCTGTAGGGCCCCCGTACAACAGCATTAATCATGAATTGCAACGAGAAGAGGCAGGACTTCATATAAATAATATTGGTAAACAACGGTGTAACATGCTCTTTTTTTTTTTAATCTGTTGGTTAATATTGCTCATCACATTCATAATCTAAACATCTAACAAAGTTAATGAAATATTTTCTGACTTGTAGGTTTAATTAGATAAGATTTTAACATCATGAATGCTGGTCCAGTACTCATAATTTCCATGATGCAATTGACCAGCAGGAGATGGTTAACTTGAGACCTGACATTTAACTTTTTTTTCCTTTGATTCATATTTCACCTTGTCTGTTGTTTTTTTTTAACAGTTGAAAGTTGTGTTGGCTAATAAACAAAAATGTTCATGCTTTACAATACTTGGATATTGACACTGTCCTATGTCCCATTTTTTGGGCTCATAATATCAAATTTTAATTTGTATTATTCCAGTATGTAACGCTAAGGGCCAGATTGGAAATAAGACACAATGGGCTTTTGCACTGTTGTTATTCCTTTGGAATGTGAAGGTCTGAATGAGGGTTTTGATTTTGAATGTTTCAGTGTTTTTTGAGATGCCTTGCTTACATTTTATGGTGTAGTCATTGGAAATGGAAAAATGGCATTATACTTTATTTCATTTACCATCCCTATAGAACTTGACAAGAATTACTATGACTGAAAGGTTTTTTAGTCCTTATTCAAAACTTTATTTATGACAGTATTCATTCTTAGCTTGAGATGCATTCTATAGGTAATCTCTTTGAGTTTCTGGACTGTATGCTTAAATTCTTGGACGTGCAGCAGCTTACATGTCTAAATTACTTGAAAGCATCACTTTTCTAAGAGCTTACTCTTAGGCCCTGTACCATCCCTAAATCATCTGTAGCCCCACTTGAAATATTTTTGCCACAGTTACTAAAGGGCAGTTCTATAAATACCATCACAATACTTTGGTGTGGCACAAGTTGTAAACTGAGGTGGAGTTTACATTCAACATCAAATGTTTCAGCTTTAAAAAAAATAGGGTGCCAGTGTGCAAGTTCCATGTTTAGTTATAGCAAATTTGTGCAATATGTTAACGATGCCTGTGGTTGCCACAAAGTGCCTCGTTTACCTTTAAATACTGTTAAAAAGTGTTATGCATGCAGATGGAAGGGGTGGAACTGTGCACTAAAAGGGGCTTTAACTGCAATGTTTGGCAGAGCTGCCTCTTACTCTGCCAGTTCAGATTTTCAGTCTGTTTTCATATGGAGTGCATATATACACATATATACACTCTCTCTATATATACACTCTATATACTAAAAAAATCAGTCTGTTAAGCAGCCTTACTCTGATTCAGCCTCTTCAAATACTATTGTGCTGTGCAACAGTGGCTCTGTGTGTAATGCTATGCACTGAGGATACACAAAAATCAAATATGACATGTACAGGTTAATGCCTCATACAAATCAGATGTCCGTTTGTTATTGTGTTTAACAACCCTTTATCTCTTAGTGTTAAAACTCCACTTAAAACTGATTAAAGTCTCATTCTTGTCATTGTGTGGGTGTTTTATTAAAGTTTTTAATATAAATTGCTCAGGTTGCATTTTACTTCTAAGTAATAGAGAGTAAATGTCATCACAAAAATAGCACTTCTCTAAAAGAAGTTCTTTGGCTTTAGAGAAAAAATATGAAACTGCATGTTAAAATGCCTTCTAATTTTTTAGATTTTTAAAAATTATTTTTAACAAACTAGGGTTGGGATCAGACATGTGACATGCATTTATTTTGAATATTACAGTATCAACTTCAGTTTTTCAGTTTGATGCCCCTCATGAATTGCAACACACATCTTTTGATGTTGTGGTTTTCACATCAGCATTTTATCACAAGATACATTGGGCTCCTATAAACGTGCAGGGAGCCTGCTCAGATGTGCTAGAAATTCAGAGCTTTGGAGCAGACCCAAATAATAGAGTCTGGGGAAGCATGGAAATAGCTGTGCTCTGGTAGCCTTTTGCGTCACACATCAGCATCCCCGCATGTCGCTGTGCTGGATAAATGGTGGTGGGACACTGAAATAAAACACATCATGAGCTTTAGTTTAAAGTGCCTGCCGCCATTTTTTCAGTGCAGGGGCACATGGGGATGATGACACATGATGTGCGTGAGTTTTTAATTAGCATGGCTGACTAATTAAAATGTTGGATGCAGTGTCCCAGAGCACGTGTAAAAATGCCCGTTTATTTTAAATAACCTTTAAGCTTTTTATACAAGAAAACAGACTTTCTCAGGAAAATACCATTTTAATCAGTTGGGGGACATACAATTATTAATTTAAATTCCAGTCGTTTTAGGTTCTTCAGGATGTCTTTTTCTAGTGGACTAATATATTTTTTGTATTAAAAAACTTAGAAAATGTATTGCTCACTGGTCTGTCTGAAACAGTCATGTTTCAAAATAGATTTTTTGTATTTGCTTGAAGAAATACTGTATTCTGTTCATTTTCAGCTTGTCTGAAGGATATCTTCAACAAGGTTGCTGCAGACAGGTTAGCTCTGGAAAAAGGTGGAAAAGAAAATATTTTTATATTCAGCGTGTGGTGATGTCTTACCAAGGCTCTAAACTATGAAAATTGCACAACTTCTTTCTTTTTTAAAATATGTTCTACTACTGAACCCTTACTGCCCATTTTTAATTTTAAAGTGTTAACATATGCATGTGGTTGAGATGTCTTCAAGAATTGATTAGATTACTGCTTTGGAGATCATTTGGAGAAAAATGGTGTTCTCGGTGCTATAGCAATTCACTATTTCTATATGGTAATAGAAATGACAAATGGAATCCTTGACTACTTCAGTGTTGCAGAATTCTTACTGTGTGTTTATCTATTCTAAGGTTTCCACAACCAAACTTGATTAAATATCTGTTATTGTCAGGGAAATAGTCTCCTGTAGAGAGTTCCACATGCTCCTTATTTTCAATTTTTTTTCTTTAAGCAAAAGTTAAATAATATAATTGTGCTAAGGCTGTTTTCATGTGAAACAAGAATAAATGGAAGTGTTTAGAAGTCAAGGTGTACTAAGTTCAGAGAGGAGCATCTAAAAGAGATTTAGAACATTTAATTTAAAGAGGGTCTGTTGCTGGCCAGGACAGATATATTTCTGAATTAGTTTTATATGTATTTCTGACTCTGAATAGAGTCAAAGATGCAGCTTTCTGTTCAGCATAAAACAGTATGAAAAGATACCACTTGTGAAACCTTAAGTACACTGCACATTTGAGAGACTTCCTCTGATACTGCTTCCATTCATTAATTTAATGTCTTTGTAAATTATCATTTACATTTCACAGAAAACACATTTAGAAGCCATTAACATTTACCTTGTGCTATAGTCCCTCCCTTTTCTTTTCCTAGTTTTCTTTATTAGGAAAAATGATAAAAGAGCATTTGGCTTCAAATGTGTGACAGTGCTTTCAGGATTGGAGTTCCTTCATTTTTACCTGGAATAATTGTTTTTGTTTAGAAGTGACCCAAGCACTTTTGAGATTTAATTAATCATTTTTTATTATATAGAGATGGGCTAGGGGAAGCCTAGGCAGACGCAGTGCAAACTTCTCAGTGTGCCTTAACTGTGAGTCTCCATGCTGCAATGTGAAAGCATTATCCTGGTAATATGCTTATGTAGGCATGCATTGCCAACTTACAGCCAAATGTAATAATTGCTTCTTTTAATATAAATTATAACTCAAATAAGTAGTCATGGGATCACTTCTGAATTGTGATCACAACTAACGATTAAAATCCTGCTAAAATAGGTGGAATAGTTGATGTTTAAATGAGACTTAAAAAAAAAAAAGTGATGTCTTGGTTTATAAACTAACTGTATATGCCAATAAAGGAATCCCTCATTGTGTCCTGGTCATGTTGCTTTAAAGAAGTTGAGATGATCCTATGTATTTTAAGAGAATGTGTGTATATATAGTTGCATATTGTATCTAGTAAAATCATGGTGGGTATTAGGTGGTAGCCAGCAGTGGAAAACTATTCAGGGTCCCACCTATGAGCAAACGGAGTAGAGGGAGTTTTAAAAGGTGCTATGCAGCTAAGGTAGAAAGTACATTTGTTTGTCTGTTTTTCGCTTTTGCCTTTTTTTCTCTTAGTTCACTCATTGTGTGTACATTTATGCTGTGTTGAATTTGTGAGCATCTAACCTACTACCCTGTATATTTTTTTCTTTCAACCTTCTATGCCAGTCAGCCAGTGGGTAAATCTTACTTTCTAGTGTGCGAGAAAGAAACAGTTTTCAGTAGTTTTACCACCTATATGTTAGGTATTTTATAGCCATAAAAGGAGATATGTTCCCAGCCCACTGAAGCTGTCTACTTACTTTACACAAGAATTGAAGTTATTTGGAAAATAAGTATTATTCCAATATTGTATTTCATTGCCTTTTTGTTGTCGTATGCATATATTGTATATAGATGTGAACATTGAAGAGAACAAAGAAAGAATACCAAAGCAAAAATATAATATCCAAGCCTTTTGTGGATTTTAACTTGAAATTAAAATTGCATTTATAAAACTTTAAAATAATTACAAAGCTTTCATTTACAGACAGCTCATTTGAAAAATAATTAAGGAGCTCAGCACTGGGAACATGCTCCCTGATACAAATATAGCCAAAGTAAAATTGCCAGTATTGGCTTTTAGCTTTCTTCTCTATGCAGGTTCCAGAGTGTTGCTTAAGTTCAAAAATTAGAATTACTGTTCTGTGATGTTTGAAAAGAGTTTTGTTAACCTGTTTTTGCCCTTTATTTCCTTTTATTTCATAAATGTACCCCCTCCTCCTTATTCCACCCTTCATTAGTAATCCTTATTTATATAATAGAAACATCTGTATAAAGCAGACAAGGAAAGAGTGGTTTTTCTTATAAGCAATGTGTATTGCTTGAAATGAGAATTACTATTTTTTGTGCTTCTTGGTTCTTCCTTTTTTTTTCCTGTTGTGTTGTTTGCTCTGCCTTTGCATGGCTATTATTGGTCTCTGGTGAGTTCTTTTTCACTGCCGAACAAAGTTTTCTTTTTTTTTTTTACTTTCATGGAGAATTCTAGATTTTAATCTGAAAGCAGTATTTAAACATAACTCCTTTACACTCTTTGGTTTGACAGCATTTTTTTTCTTTGAGAGATGACCAAGAAAATGCTAGAACTATGTGAATTAATGAAATACATGTGTTACTCCTGCCTGATTTAATTCTTGATGCATGTGAAACAAGCTGGTGCATGTAAACTTCCAACGTAATAAGAAATGATGTGCCTATGTACTGAGATGTTTGCTAACTTTTGAGTATTTGGCTCTTAACACAGTTTGCTCAATTTTTCAGCAATTCAGTTTTCTGCATGGATTGCGCTAGTTGTCCTATGTGTGCTGTCCATCCACATCTTTTAAGTAGATGTGCGTGTACCTCAAGCACTCAAACTCTGATTTTTTTTCTTTAACTGCATGCTTGCCTTCACTTCTTTTGTTGTTTTACATTAAGGAGCCTAAAAGGAAGTTCACTTTCCCTGTTTCTCAGTTCTTCTCAGAGGTCATGGTTCAAAATGGAGCTTCTGTAGTCTCATTCAGACTGCAGCTTGTCCAGAGCTGCTTTTAGAACCTGGCTTTGTTTTCATTCCTTCACTTTTTTCCTTTGTTTCAACTCTCCTAGGGAGTTAATTCTTGCTTCATGTTTTTTTTTCCATGGCATTTCTTAGGTTCCAAGATCCATGTTTCCCTTGGTTGTGCTCAGATACCTCCTTCAACTGTTGATCTGGTTTCCCGTAAGCCACATTCAAGTTCCCCTAAGAACATCGAAGTTATGTTCTTCCTGTGATGGTATTATTCCTGCCCCCTGACAGGTATGATGATGTGGGGGAGGGGAGGGGAGGGACGACTTTGCACTACTTGTAAATCGGGCCAAGAAGAAGCAGGAAGCCAGGCTGTAGTATCTGGGTATTCACAAAACCTGCAAGAGTACAAATCAGCTATTGAGGGGGCCGTCCTCAGGTTTTCCTCACGTTAGTGCAGATTTAGCTGCTTGTTCCAGAAGGAGACCCCTGTTTCAAAGTTCTCCATGGAAATCCTTTGTGATGAATCAGACACAACATTTTGGTGCCAAAACTCCAGAACCTGTTTCCGGGAAGCCCATGTCTTCAGTGCCTAGAAAACTTGGATAACTGAGGCATTTTTGGCTTCCCCAACACTTACGCAGAATAGATCCAACAGTCTAGCATTAGCTTCTGCACATGCATCAACTGTTACACTCAGACATGGTGTGCCTCAGTGGACATTTGCTTTTACTGTCAATGCCATTTTGGTTCACAGTTTTTGAACGAACTAATGATCCTGCTGGAAATGAAGTCTGTTACTTTCTCTGTCTTCACAGAGCACTGGACCAATTTGTCTCCTGGTTTCCACATCACTGGTTCTAGTAGCCTTTTTCTGTCTTTCAACTGTGTCAGTTTTGGCTTTGGGTTCTAGCAACAAATCGTACCAGCTAGGATCTCCATTCATCTGCTTTAACATTGCAAGCCCTCTCTTCTCTGCTCAGCCTTTGGGTCTCCCTAAACAATAAGATTAACCTGATCTCATCTCCAGGATGAAGGGTTTGCTTGACCTTCATCCACAAAGTGGCTCCTTTCCTGATAAGGCAGTAGGCTTTCCACAGACAGACTATGTCCCAAGATTTCCCAGATTACATGAAGTGTGTCACCAAAACCTTGGAAATTCCTACTGAGGTCAAAGAACCAACCCACATAGGTTCAGCAATCTGCAGCCAATACAGCATCCTTCTACATCAACAAGCCTATAACAAACCATACAAGAATTATATGGTAGATATTTGCCACTTGTGCTCCAATTGCAGGGAGGAGTGACAAATGGAAATCAGGTCCCTTTTTTAGATGCAGTGTTCTATACACTCTCCCTGTCACCTGCATATGTTTCCATGGCCAGCAAAAAGGCAAGCAGCCCAAAAGTAAGAAGCTGAAAAGAGTAGATTTGCTAGGAAGAAAATTATTCGTGCTATCTTGTAGTTTTGAGTTACTAAATACCAGGCTTTGGCCCAGTATGATTTTTATTTAAGAGCTTGAGCCTGAAACAAATTACTGATAGGCTGTTGTTATACTCAAAAGAAGCATTCAGTGCCTGCTTTTGGAAGGGATAGTTCATGGCCAAATTTCACATCAGGCTGATTTGGATATAACAAATACTTTTCTTAGCTGCACATACTGCTTCATGCTCTAAGGCCACAGCAATATTCATCCTGGTTTCCAGACTTCAAGCTTCCTAAAGTACTTGTATAGGACCTCCTTTGAAAGGGCAGAACTTAACAGCTGTAACATGGATGAGACTTTGTATGCCCTCCAAGATCTCTTCTTGCTCTCTGATTCTACACATCTCCCCGGAAAAGGGAACAAAAATACCAAGTGTATTTTTGCCACAAGACAAGCACAGGCACTGTCTTCTGCTCCTACTTCTGTACTATCCTTGACTGGGACTTCCAATGAAATGCTAGCACTTTCATCTTCATCCTCCACATGAATCATGTAGGTGCAGGTAGTCATATCAGACCACATTTCAGTTGCATGCACCTGCCTGTATGGAGTTTAACTTTTGATGGTCTGCTCTTTCCTTGCATAGTATAAGGACCTAGCCAACAAGGTCCTGCACAAGGATCCCATTTCTTTCCTCCTAACCATTATCATTGACTGTCACTCATGACAGATGCCTCGGTGGTGGGATTGACGGCTATAAAATGATATTTAGAGATTTGCTTTTTGGAATTGGCTGATGAGTAGATGTGCATTAGAATAATGGTCCAGGGGAATGGCAAGTGTTAATTGGCTTCTAAAAGCCTGTTTGTGACAAAGTTTCCTTCAAGGCCCGCTGTGTCTGAAGCCAGCAGACAAACAGGCTGGGAAATTGAAGACATGCAATACACTGTTCCCTGAAAATCCATAACAAAAGATAGGCTTTCCCTGTTGGCTCTCTCTTGGTAACCACCTGCAGATCCCCCTAGGATTTCTGGTTTTGGCTGACAGGCCAAATTAGGAGGTTGGGGTATGCCCAAATGAAGACACCAGTAAATGACCAAATTGAAATGTGTGCATGACACAGAATGTGGACGGTATGACGACCACAGGGAAAACAATCAATGGTACCCAGAAATGAAGACTCATTGGAGGAGAGAGAAAATACAAAAGGTGGATTTCAGAACAGCCAAGGATCCCCAAGGGGGACCCTGAGACCACCATGGACAGAAGGTGCACCACCAACCTGTCTCACCCACCCTATTGGAGGATGGGGGGGTGCCCCCCCCTCAATCTCCAGGCTTATGACATCTGACATGCAAGAAAGAACCACAGGGTGAAGCTTACATACTGGCCCAGACATACCTTTCTTCTGTGGATGCTGGAACTGGTAGGTATAGAATTGGGGGGAGGGTTATTTTGTTTGCTTTGCCTGCATTGCTCTTATCTGCTATTGCTGTGGATCAATAACATTTTCTTGCCCACGCACCTCTTGGACATCTAGAGTACCTGAGTGAATTCCCCCCTCTGCTCCCTGTAGGCAAGACTGGCTGTGGGGGGAGAGGGGAGGGTGCTCCCCTGACTAAGGTGACACCAATCGCCCATGTACTCTGCTCTACAGATCATTTTCTCCCAGACTGGGGATATCCACAGGTTGACCTGTTTGAACATCAAAAAGATCTGGTCCTTTTTACTCCATGGAGAGGGCCTCACCTGGGCACATTTCCTCAAAAGAATAGGCTCCAGTATTTTCCTCATTTCATGGTCAAGGAATCTCTCGTCTTTTCTGGAAGCTTATCTCTTAAGTTCACAAGCGTAGCGTAAAGCATGGTGAGAATTGTGTGGCTGATCCTACTGACCACATTCTGCCCAAGGCAGTTATGGTTACTGGACCCTCTTCCAGGAGTGCTTACAAACATGTAAACTGTCCCCATGTTTCTGACCTGATTTCATAAAATGGAGGGAAGATGTGCTCTGTACAGACATTTGCTTCCTCTGTCTTTTATCAGTAGTTTTGCTCATTTTCTCAGAGATGTTATCCAGAGCAGGAAACGCTGAACTGGATGGATTTTCATGATGAACCAGACTAGGAATTTTGCTTGATAGCTACAAAAGTGTCTTGCAACGTATGCAGTGTACACATGTGAGGCTGCACATAAGTTAATATTGATAATAAATTGGAATACGTGTGCAAGTTGGGGTATTGTAAGAAGATAACTACATGAACTACTATCTGTCCATTTTCAATTTCAGCCCTTAGTGCTTTTGCTTTGTATATAATATTTTCTTACCTCTTTGGCCATGGCCAAGACCCAGTTTATTAAAAGACACATTTAAAATACTGAGGTTTGAAGTGTTAGACAGTTAATGCAGTGGAGGGAGTTGTACTCAAAAGCTGATTTGAATTCATTGAGAACATTGGTTTTAGGGTTTACAACAAAGAAAGTGGTGTGCACCAGTTGGATTTGGGAAGGAAAAGAAGAGTCTGTAAACAAAAATGATGTGGTTGTCTGTTAGTAATTGCAAATTGATGTCATTCTGAACAGGAGCTGTGGAATTTGAGTTGTTACTGAGGGTCAGCCAGGCATCCATTCAGGTGCCATTAGACCTCCTAGAGACTTAGTTTTTGACTAGTTTATCATGGTACAAAAGAGCTAATATCTTAAACAGTCAGGTGTATAGTGAGAATAAAGGAGTTCACTCCTTAAGGGTAGTGGTTAGCGCTGTCAGACTTAGTGCTAATAATGTTTGCAGTGTCCTGGGTACACCATGAATTGGCATTAGAGTCTAATCTGGGTAACTTAATGGTGTAATGGAATATTTATATTGAATAGTGGATTGTAAGAATGATGGCCTTGATCAGGGTTAATAAGATGCTGTTAAAGATAAATTGAGAAAATACTTTGGTGGTTCAGGATCTGTAGTGGCATAAATGTCAAAGGTTTGGCTATGTGAGTTGCTGTGTGTGGCAGGAGGACTTGTCCAGTCGAACAGAATGGACTTGCCTAGAATGTTAACTGGTAGTCCTAGTCCTACTCACTACAAAGGAATTAAAGTGGAAAAAGGAAACTTCCTTTCATGGTGAGGAGCTTATTACGTTTTGCCTGGTGATGTAGAGTCCAACTTTTTTCAGAACTGGAGTAGCTTAGTTACAGGAAGAGGAACCTAATGTTTTATAGCTGTCAGTGGTGGCATTTGAATACATACCAAGATATTGGGTATTGTTTAGGGAGCTATAAATATGCTAAACTATGCCTGTTTATCCCTTCCTTCAGGACCATATAAATGTGGTCACAGGAGGTGGTGACTGGATATGAGGGCACAATCTTGTGCATATCTGCTCCAGCCAGGTAGCATATTTCCCTCAGAAGCTGATAACTGGAACTCAGTGAGACAATCCTTCATCCTCCTTCACCCCCCACAAAAAAACAACACCCCCCCCCCCAAACTCAGGAATGGACAATTTTTATGAATGCTTTCATCAAGCTGTCTGAATTTGAAAACAAAATACCTACTGGAAGCTGATAAATCTGCTGGCAATGATCCATTCCTCTAATTTTTATTTTCTCTCCTCCATGGGATGTCAGGTTAGCAGGAGTCAACTTCATAAGGATCTGCAGTAAAATAAACTGAAGGTGATCTTACCGGGAGGTTGAGATACAGGAAAGAAACAGGTGAATGAAGCAAACTGCATAGGGGGGAAGAGTCAGTCACTTGTGAAATATAGATCTCCAAATGTCAGCTGACCATAAGTCTTGTGTGGAAATGTCATCCAGTCTAGGAAGATGTTATGAAAGTAGTCCAGTAATACCTTCTCTGATATGGAAGTGGACACTAGGCATGATTTCTGGTCAGAGATTATCGGATGATATAGAAGCTGCCAAAATCTGAGAAGACCTCTTTATTAAGGTAAGGACAAGATGTGGGTAAAAATTTGGGGTGAAAAGTTTTTGCCAAAACACAGGTGACCAAAACAATTGAGCAAATTTATATCTTGCACATTAATTTTTTTTGGAAAATGGGAGGGGGAAAATCAAAGTAGGTGCTATTTTTCATTTTTAAAAGATTTTTCATTTAAAACTGAGATTACCAGAAGTATACATGGTTTTGGGGGAAGGGGAAGAATCCCTCCCTCCCCCAAATTTTGTTTTACTACTTTAATTGTGGGGGGGGGAGGGCTGTTTGTTTCGCTTGTTGGGGAGGTTGTTGCTGAATTTTCTAGTTTGAGTAAACAATTTTTTAAATTAACTTGGTCTGCAAATGGAAAACTGAGTTACTTGGAAACCGTCACATTGTCTTAAGGAAGCAATGTTTGGGGGGCATTCTTGTCATGAAAGAGTATAGATGTGGTATAACAGATGGATAATGGGACAGCTCAGTGCAGAGATGTGAATGCAGATGGTTGTCCACATGGGTCTTTTGTGGCAAGTGTGATTGTGAGGCATGTGGGTGTCTGGAAAGAGCTGTTGTTCCCCCCCTCCCCCCTCCCATGCAGATTCTGAAGATGATGATTTAGTCGAGAGAACTAAAAGGAGGTGCATTAAATTGTAGAGGTGACTGGGTTATCACGAGTGCTGTAACAGAACAGTATAGCTGCATAATACTTGGGGAGAGGCTGTATAAGAAACCAAATAAGGGGCTTGAACTACGTTTGGAATTTAATCTGGCAGCCAAGTACTTCTGCCAGCATTTCACAGATGTCAACCCCAAAAGCAGCAGCGGTAAGCATATGTAAGAGTCAACAGGTCTGCTGGAATTCTCTAGCATTTTCATTCATATTTTCTGGTTTTCATGTTTTGCCTATTTTAAAAGTGAGATTTGTAGGTAATTTGTGAAGTAAATAAGTCTGTTTTTTTCACTCTGACCACCAGGTCTCATATTGAAATACTTTCCCTGCCTCCCATTTACATTGGCCAAGAGTGGCGGTTGGATAGAATGGCAGGAGGATCACCTTCCCTTGAGGTCTGTCTGAAGATGAAGGCTTATGGAGTTTTTTCATCTTCCACACGTGTGTGGGGCCAGAAGCCTTGATATATATGTTGACTTGTGCAGCCATTTAATGGATGGCAATGGAAGTGAGTGGAATCCTGTGTCCTCTGCCCTTATGCTGCTGTTCAGGGCCCTCCTACGCTTGCAGCCATTTCACTTGATGTTATTAATATCCTTGTACTTGGATGATTCTAGTCTTGCCCACGGTATCTTTTCAGCCCTTTCCTGTAGCATTCTGTTATTGCTAGCAACAGTGGATGGCAAATTATTTTTCCATCCTCTGAAATTTTGAAGACTTGAGAAATATTCCCAAACCATGACGGAGCAGACCAAAAATCTCTTTAGAGATTTTTTTTGCGAAAAATGAGATGCATGCAAGAATAGCTAAAGCCCAGTGATCAGGACACTTACCTCAGTTCTGCAAGACTCAAGTTCCGATCTTTAGACTGAATCAGCCAGAATAGCAATTTGAACTTGAATTTCATAGAATCATAGAAAATTAGGGTTGGAAGGGACCTCAGGAGGTCATCCAGTCCAACCTCCTACTCAAAGCAGGACCAGCCCCAACTACATTAATCCCAGCCAAGGCTTTGTCTAGCCAGGTCTTAAAAACCTCCAAGGATGGAGATTCTACCACCTGTCTGGGTAACCTGTTCCAGTGTTTTATTACCCTCCGAGTGGGAGGGTTTTCCCTAACATCTAACCTAAACTTCTCTTGCTGCAACTTGAGACAGTTGTTTCTTGTTCTGTCATCTGTCACCACTGAGAACAGTCCAGCTCCATCCTCTTTTGAACCCCCCTTCAGGTAGTTGAAGGCTGCTATTAAATCCCTTCTCAGTCTTCTCTTCTCCAAACTAAATAACCCCAGTTCCCTCAGCCTCTCCTCAGAAGTAATGTACCCCAGCCCTCTAACCACTTTCATTGCTCTCTGCTGGATTCTCTCTAACTTGTCCATATCCTTTCTGTAACGGGAGACCCCAAAATGGGCACAGTACTCCAGGTGTTGCATCACCAGTGCTAACAGAGGGGAATGATCTGGTGGCAACACTCCTACCTGTGCAGCCCAGTATGTCATTAGCTTTTTTCACAACAAAGATACACTGTTGGCTCATTCAGTTTGTCCACTGTAACCCTCAGGTCCTTTTGTTCACAGCTGTTGCTTAGCCAGTCAGTCCCCAACATGTACTGGTGCATGGGATTGTTCCTTCCTAAGTGCAGGACTTTGCACTTGTCGTTATTGAACCTTATTAGGTTTCTTTTGACCCAATCCTCCAATTTGTCAAGGTGTCTCTGAATCCTAGCCCTGCCCTCCTTCATATCTACTACTTTCCCCCTGCCCAGCTTGGTGTCATCTGTAAACTTGTTGAGGGTGCACTCCTTCTCACCTTCCAGGTCATATTGATGAAGATATTGAACAAAACTGGCCCCCGGACTGGCTCCTGGGGCACTCCACTTCAGAGTGGCTACCAACTAGATATCAAGCCATTGACTCTTACCCTCAGAACATGGTGATCCAGCCAGTTCAATATCTTACATCCTGTCTGTTCATCCAACCTGTACTTCGTTAGCTTGCTTCCAAGAGTATTATGGGAGACCACATCAAAAACCTTTCTAAAGTCAAGGTATATCACTTCCACTGATCTCCCCACATCCACAGAGCCATTCCTCTTGTCATAGAAGACAATCATATTGGTCAGATGTAACATCTTTGTCTCCTTGATTCTAAAAACTGAATATTGGCTATTCTTCCTCCTCTTTTCAGTTTTCTCCTTTAATTTATCCTTTCCTGGAACTAAGAACTTTCATGCAAAAGTTTCATCCCAACTGGAATGTTCCCAGAAAGTTTTCATTTTGACAAATAGATGATGCCCAATGTCAATGTTGTAGAATTTTCTGGTCAACTCAACTTCCTCCTGATTGGGTTTCCTAGGTTTTGCTGTAGAATGTCACCAGGCCAGCTTGCAGAGGGTGAAGAGGGATTTTTAAAACTAATTTAGCTAGTTGCTTATAACTGAAAGAAAATGGGAATTAAGCTCCTTATTGTCTTCCATTTTTGAAAATGGGGCCTAAGGACCTTGGCAGTGTTTGAAACTTCTGCTTCTTGTAAGGTCACACCCCTTGCACACCTCTTAAAGCATTTTTAATTAAATTAGTGAAGCTTTTTAAACTTGATCCTTTCAAAACTAGTTTGCACTGGATTCATATGGATCGCACTCCAACCAGCTAATTCCTCCAAGTTATGACGTTGGCTAGTAATAGAATATATATTGGGGTCCCTAGAAGTTTTTTTGAGGAAACTTAAAAAAACAAAACAACAAAAATAAAACCACTCTTCCTATATACAAAATGTACTTTTTCTGATTCTTGTATAACTTAGTAGTATGATGGCAATAATTTATTGTGTTATTGCCATTTGAAGTACTTCCTTGTTTAAAATCCATATTTTTGTAAAGATATTAAGAAGTGCTAATTGTTGCATACAGTGCCAGCAGAGTAAGACTTGTGTTCTCAACTTCGTGCATCAGATTGATTGATTGATTGATTGATTGATTAATTGACTTTAGGGGAACTGCTTTCAGAATAATTCCTCAGGAGAAGACCAGCATTTTTCCTGGTGGCAAAAAAGGCAGTGTGATGTTTTTTCATTGTTCTCCAGGTGGCAATTAATATGTCTTAGAATTCTGACGGCAAATGAAAATGGAATTCAGGAGATTGAGCACTGCAACTACACCAGAGCAGGGTTGTGACTTTGTAGGCTGCATGAGTGTCCATTAGAAATATTTTGGAGCAACATCACTCCCTGAATTCCCATGGATGTTGCTTATTTCTCAGAATGGAAAATGTTCTATTTTTGGTCATGAATATTTTTTTCAGGGGAAAGGGCAGGGTGGAACTAAGCATGGCAAGAGTTCATGTATGTGTAGGGTTAAGTGTGTTGGGGATTGAGGGAGCCCTAGCAAATACATTTCAAACTGATACATGAGGAAGTTTTTAAATATTTCAGTTTTAAAGCTAAGAAAATGTGTTAATTAACTTGGATGATAATGGAGAAGCCGGCACACAGATTTTGGAGGCAGATTTGTCTATGGGAAAATGTATCTATGACCAGGAAAGATCAAAACAAATGGATAAATAAACACATAAGCATATGTCTTAAGACCAAAAAATATACTATAGATCAAAGGGGAATCTTCAGGAATGCAAAGAAGACTCTAGTAAGCAAAAAAACCCAACAAAATGACAAATCCCAGGAGTCATTTCAAGCTGACAGCCTGTTACAGCCAGTCTCTCTTAGTCAGGAATCTGATTTTTGGTGTTTATTTTAGCTGAAGCTGGCAATAATGCAGTAAATGTTATAGTGTCTGATCAAACCAATTTTAATTAAGTCCTGGAAAAAGGGACATATGCTGTAGAAACAATATTTTTGAGAGATGTATCATATATTATAAACTTTTTAAATAAGACATCTACATTTTACTACTAAGAAGAAAATCAAGACAGCCACTAAGGACAATTGTTTTAGTGTACATGTAGGTCAATTTTATGCAAACATTTTACTAAACGTATACTTTTCATCAGTTCATTTTAGAGCTTGGCTTGACCAGTGAATTTTTACTTTTGGAGT